CATTTTGCATAAAAACGCAAAAGTACTATTACGTAAACGTGTATGAAGAAAAAACCCCAACCCCCACAACACATACACTAAAATTTACATAAATTTTTTGTCAAATTCCGATTTTTATCTTACCGATCTCGATGTAGAGAAATTTCTCAAAGAAATAACTGGTCTAGAAAGTTGCTTCAACATATTTCCCTCTAATTATTTAAACGTTAATATGTAAAGGAAAATTGCGTGTTTTAAAATCAGCCACCAAGAATCTATCGACCTCTCACCACTTTAGGAAGGTTAAACGAAGTGTGGACAAATTTCAAACGTCAAAATATTAAATTTTCTTATTTAGGATTGCCATAGTGAAAAAATTTAATTTATTTAAATTTAAAATTAAAAATTATAAAAATTGTGTTTATGTGATATTTATGTCATGTGGGATAAAGAAGAAGAATTACTTTTTGTTTATGTTAATAACGTCAAGCTTATAGCTCATAATTAACACATCTCAGGCTGTGGTTACATTGCATGCGAGTTTTTTCTTGCGTGTTCGTACATATGTTTTTTTAAAGTGCATCCACACCAAAGCGAACGCTTGCAAACAAACGAACTTTGGCAGGTACGATTACATACGAATATTCGTTTGACTGCAAGTGTTTGCTTTGGTGTGAATGCACCTTTATGCGAACACATCGCATGTTGCGGTACATTGCTTGCGAATTGACAGTTCTGTTTTATTTGTTTTGAAAACAAAATATATTGTGAAGATGAAATATATTTAACGGAAAATTTGTTATCAAGTTATTTATTAATTTCAAATAACAAAAGATGATTGTGGGAGCATGATTTTTATAGTTCAAGGTATAAAAATGAAATTCATTTCCTAAAAGTAGCATATGTTTTTAAATTTATTTTCATTTATAAACTTAAAATTACATGAAAATAAAACTCACTTTTCAATTTCACTATTTATATTTTCGATTTTGCACAAACGTATAAATTTTAAAATAAATATTTTGTTTAATCGAATAATCGTATTTGAAAGAGAAGACGTCGCGCGAATAGTTCTCAGAAACTGTAACTACTCACATATGATTACATACATTTGATTGGTTCGTACGAACACGCAAGACAAAATTCAGCGTAACCGCGCCTCAATTGGTAATAAATTTTAAATTAAAATTCAATGTATGGTATACACTTCGGCACTCAAACATAACCATGAGCGAAAGAAAGTGGAAAAAAAATTTATGTTAAGCATTCAATAAATTGAAATTAACTTGTTTTATGTTATATGTCATATAATAGCTGTGTTTTATTTTTAGTGAATATATATATAAATCATTTGGGCCCATGTTATGTAGAACAGGGCTGTTCAAAGCAAGGCCCCTGGACCACTGCGGCTCGCGGCTAATGTTTGTTCGACTCGCGACATGTTTTTAATCTACCACAATTATACAAATTTTCTTTTGGGTGCACTAGTAAGACTACATTATTTTATTTTTATGGTATACCAAATAAATGAATTTAAATTAATAACACTAAATTTAATATTATAACCGTGGGATTATTTTCCACGTAATATTTTTAAAGTATTTCCAACCAAATGAAATAAATTTTTTGTGTGATAATGGATAATTAATAATAAATAAGTAATTTTGTAAAAAATGGGATGACGCAGTACAATTGAGCACACAGAAATGGTGCTAACCCATTTTGAAGACGGTCAACCTCAGCGGAATATTGCGGAATTCTTTAATTTGAGTTCCTCCACTTTGCAGAGCACCGTCAGCGCAGAGCCCAGCCATGAATGTCATTGATAATTTATTGCCAATATTGGAACAAGGTATGCGGCAACATACTATTTCCAACAAAGAAAACTTAAAAAAGGCTATTTTACATGAGTGGATGAAAATTGCCCTAGAAACAACTCAAAAACAACCTAAAAAATTGTAGGTTGAATGCCGAAGAGATTTGACAAAGTGATAAAAGCGAAAGGGTATCATACCAAGTATTGACTTTGCAATTTCTTTGTGGATGAAATAAGCTGAGGCATTAAAATAGGAGTATTTTTATAGTTTATATTCATTATTTATAAAAACAATATTTTCGGTATGTTTCAAGTTTCTAAATTAAATAATAAATATTTTTCCTTAAAAATGCCATTTAACCATTTAAATATTTTCAATCGATGACATAGTTTTTCAGTAATAGCGTAAAGAATTTTAAAATTGGTGTTGGATGAAATAAGCTGAGAGCCACTGTATGTACACCACAGATATTTCTCACCTTCTTTATGGGGACTTGCGTTTCGTATTGGGTGATTTGGATGCTCATTATCGTCTGCGGTTTTCTAAACCACCAGCTGTTCAGAGACGCCTGCAATTGACATCCCAAATTGACGGATCATTTTTTGGTGCACTTAACAAATAGTTGTCAGTTAGGGTTGCCGAATTTGCCAACAAGTCCAACTTGCTCCAGCTTTTCTGATGTCAGCCTCGCAAGTCCTATGCTCGCTGCCTCGAATTGCAATGTTGATATAGCTATATAATATAAGATATCTTTAAGGACAGACGTCTCCGAAAGCGGCTTCGGCAATATTTCTCTGTCCTCTGATTTGAATAAGAGAGAGAAAGAATTTAGCAAAATTATTATCTATTCCGCTGCTCCAATTGTTCCTGTAAGTACAATTTTCCTAGTGATGGTGTGCCCCTTGTCGAATAATGCGATTACCTTCGCAGGTTTGACCCAACCAATTCACGCATAGCTACTAGCTATTAGCTACCTGAACAGTAACATCCGTAAAAGGGTGAATGAACATCGCCTTAATAAATGAAACGAACATTTAGATAATAGCGATTCCTAAAATGGTAAATTGTGCACAATCACTAAAGGATTATCTAATTATTTTCTACGTAACAACAAGAAGATAACATTTAATGGGATTACCCTCCCCGATCACAAGCATTATGTTCAGCAATTTTGCCGCCTTTTCATATCCAATGCTTCGATTTCCACTGTCATTCGTAGACAGAAACAAGCTTTCCAGAATCCGCATTCCAACGTCACCACGATTTTCTTTCCTGATTTTATGTACAGTATGATCAGACAAGCCAAGGTCTCAAAAACCCTTTGGCCTGATGGCATCTTGATTCTCTTTTGGGACTACTGGCCTTTCAGTTATGACACAATTTCTGAACTCTTCTATCAGTTCACAAATCATCACTAATATAAGAAAGACTGGTAGGATAATTTCTCTGTTGAAGCCGGAAAAACCTATTTCCACATCAACATGCAAACTACATCGTGCAACAAACTAAATGCACACCTTCCTTTTGTGGCATCATTTTTGGATGACAGAAATCTTCACCTATTTTCAAATAAATCCTCAGCTACCATGTT